AAAAAAAAAAAAAAAAAAAAAAAAAGAAAGAAAGAAAGAAAAAGAAAATAAATAAAATAAAAGCCAACCAACCAAAAGCATCAATAAAATAAAAATAAATAAAACAAAGCCAAAGCAGCTTAAGACAGGAAGAGTTTATTTTGGTTCATAGTTGGATGAGACGGTACATCCTGGTGAGGAAGACATGATGGGTGCAGAGATAGCCAGTCACATGTGTCCACACTTACAAAGCAGAAAGATGAATGTTGGTGCTTAGCTCCATTCCTCCGTTTTTCTTGTTATAGTCAGTCCAGGAACCCAGGCGCATTCAGGGTAGGTCTTCCCTCCTCAGGAAAACCCCTCCAGAAACATCTTGACAGACATGTGTCTCCTAGGTGATTCTCAATCAGTTAGGCTGATAACGATAGTGGCTGACATCACAGTCCCTCCAGCCCTGCAGGGAGTCCCAAGGCACTGGTCTTCTTGGCTCTCAGCCACTGCCCATCCTACCCTGCACAGAGCGAAGCGAGTGGCGCACAGAGGACCCCCAGTTCTTGGCCGAGGTGCTCTTTGCTGTCACCAGCATGCTGAGCTTCACCCGACTGGCATATATTCTGCCAGCTCACGAGTCGCTGGGCACTCTGCAGATTTCCATTGGCAGGATGATTGACGACATGATCCGGTGTGTACTCTTCCCATACTCTCCCTGCCTATGGCTCCTCCCCCACAGACTCTTGTCTTCCAAAGTCCCTCAGCTCTGTAGGGTACGGGAGTTCTTGACCATGTTCCTCTCACAAGACTGTGAGCTCCAGGGACCTCTGAACCCTGAAATGTAGAGGCAGAGTATAAATGTAAATGTGCTTTTCCCGGCAGAGAGGCTTACAGCTCCTGCCCTGGCCACGATTACAAACCACCAATAGCAGAAAGAGCACATGTTGGGTGTTTCTGATCCAGCTCCATGCCTCACTTATTCTTGGAAACTGAAGTTGGAAGGCAAAACATAAAATAAACAAAGAGCCAGAAGGCCAGCCTCTCCTTCCCAGATTCCTTTTCCCAGAGCCTGACTTCTTTCTAGGCTGGAGACCTGCTCTGACCCTTCCTTGTCCTCCTCCCTACCAGGTTCATGTTCATCCTCATGATCATCCTGACTGCCTTCCTCTGTGGCCTCAACAACATCTACGTGCCATACCAGGAGACAGAGAAGCTGGGCAAGTACGCTGAGGCTGGGGCAGGGGCCGGGGTGGGCAAGGGCAACTGGGTGCAGATGCCGAGTCTTAGGCATCTTTGTGCTTCTCTTGTTGGTTCACTCAGCTAACTCTCTTACTTGCCCAAGCCCTCATTGATTCCCTCTGGCACTTACTAATTTAACTCATTACACATGCACTTGTTTCTAACCCTTCTATTTGAAAAACGTCAATCTTATGAAAACATTAAATGAGATTCACTGGGCACCCAAGCCCTTCACTGGGCACCCATGTCCTTTGCAGTGTCTCTGTTCATTGTTTTGCTGCCACTTGCTTGTTTTGTTTCTGTTTTTTTCTCTTTTTTATAATTTATTTATTCTTATTTTATGAACATTTGCATTTTGCCTTCATGCATGTCTGTGTGAGGGTGTCAGATCTTGGAGTTACAGACAGTTGTTAGCTGCCACCTGGGTGCTGGGAATGGAACCCAGGTCCTCTGGAAGAGCAGCCCATGCTCTTAACCACTGAGCCATCTCTCCAGCCTTTTTGTTTTTTTCTTTTGTAACACTTTTTTGTTTGTTGCTTTTTGAGACAGGGTCTCACTATGTAGTTAAGGCTGTCCTAGAGCTTACTAGGTAGATCAGGCTGGCCTCAAATTCACAGAGATCCACCCATTCTCAGCCTCCGAAGTGCTGGATTAAAGGCGTGTACCACTATTTCTTACAATACTTAAAAGTAAATTGTAGGGGCTGGAGAGATGGCTCAGGGGTTAAGAGCACTGACTGTTCTTCC